CYKGKTTKRAWKRAWTGAGTGATTAACAATCTTCTGAAGACCTGCTGAATAGCAGGGAAACAAGTAAAACTTGCTGGATAGGGATAYTTGAGGACCAGGATTGGGAACCACTGCAAAACACYGCAAAAATGGTTAACACCAACAACATTTTCTCAGCAGTGCTGCCTTAGTGGTTACAGTGACTGGACCAAWCAATGAGTCACCCAAATGATACACTGTTGAAATGAAACGGGTTTGGGCGTGGWGCCAAAATATAAATTACAAAGCTTAATTAAAGCAGGGGTGTACAGCTCTCATCTGAGCCAGGCCTGATTTTGACAGAGTAAGCTGGGGATGAACTTTTCAAACTCAGATTAACATAAGCAGCTCGGAAACTTGTTTAATAACAATAAAAGTTGGCAGGTATTACACCCACATCGGAATATCGGTGCGCACATCACATTCAAATATTATGCAAATGAGCATGTTTAAGTGAACTGTGCTCATTTGCACAGCTCARCAGCTAAAAAAAATTAATCTTCAAACGTAACATCATTGAATGGTAAAGGTTTTACACGTTTAGACTTGAAATTAATCCTTCAAAGAAAAATAAAAAGGTGACTGACACTAGTGCCAAATACACTCTTATCTGCTATGAGAAAAACCATGACTCACCTACAGACTTTTTTTTAACCTCAGTGTGTTGAGCGAATGTTCACGTCGATCTATGTCAAAACCTGAACAACAGGTTTTAACAGTGCCCTTCTGTGTGTTACTAACACAGGTGCCCACTGCCGCAACTATTAGGTTGTACCTGGTCTCTGCTCATTAAATATGGATGAGAGTGGGCATTAATAAGTCATGTTCAACAGCAACATTACAGACAAGGACTCCTGTGGGGCCCAAGGACAGTGTGAATTGATTGCTGGCACAAACTAACAGTACCTGACACAGAGTAAAATTGATGGGTTTGAATTAACACAAATGGAACAGTTCAAAACATAAAAATAAAATGTTTACCAGCATCTGAGTTCAGTGTTCTGTCCATGTCAGTTTCCCCTCTTCCATGAGAGCAATGAAAGCATGTAGAGAAAGAAAGTTAAAATGAAAAGAAAGTTTTGCTTATTTCCGTTGCCTGTTGCTCCTTTGTCCTCACACTCACTGTCTTTTTTAGCTTTCCCTGTCCTACCAAAACCAAATCTACTGGGAAGCTATGTGATATCCTTCTCTATATTCTCTGTTAGTCCCTCCCATGCCTTATTTAAAAACACAGGGTGTATATAAACCACCCCAAACACTTCCTCCTTGTGACAGTTGACTATTTTACCATTGCAACACCCTTTGTCCTTTGACTCAGTTGGCAAAACCCAAACACTGTCAGAGACACAGCCAATAAAAGACAACAGCTTGTTTTTAAATTAGAATCACATTGTATTTATGAGGGTCAGCCTTAAGAACAAATTCAAGCAAACATCTWATGCCAATTAAATTATCAAATGGTCAGTGTGATTAAACTGACTTTAAAATTTAAGAAATGGAATTGTTACCATAAAACAACTATCCTAAATATTAAGTATTTTTGTTTCTCTGGCCAAATGTCTAAAGCTGAGTATAGTGAACTGACAACTTTGTAATTACTTAAAAAGGCTTCATTAGCATTTACCATATTTTAAAGTACTGTACTTGTATCTACAACTAGAACCATCCACCAATCTTTGTAGCAGATGGYACTGTCAGTGTGCGTGTTGATATGACCTTTATTTCTCAGACTTTGTTTTTAAGGTAAACGAGAAGCCTTTGACCAAGCATTTTTTTTCCTCTCATTTTAGCATTAAGTTGCAACTTTTGAGAAATACTGACACACACACAGTGCATGCTCAGTACATGAACCTTTAAAAAAAATGTTGGTAATAAAAGGTTCAACTTAAAAACATATGACCTCAGAGTGGATTTATTGGCTGATATAACAGATGACMATCCCATAAACCCAAAAGGGAATGAAGACATGACTTTTCATCCAAAGACAAGAGGTACACAAACAACATTACATTGCTTAAGAAAAATGTTGTTGTTCCCTGTTTTAAAAATATTATAAAAGTTATGTTTCGCAATTTGGCCCCTTTCTGACTTTCAAAACCTGTTAATTACAAAATAATAATAATAAAAAAACACTACTATGAAAACAACCCACCGGAACCTGCATTCAGCCCCTTACCTAGCAACCCCCAGGTAAGGCACCACCTCCTCAGTATAAAAAGCTGTCACGGTTGTTTTTGTGCAATACGCAGTGCATATTACAACAGGCCACCAATAGGGCAATGGGTAGAGTGTTGGACCAGAGAGTGGGAGACCAGGGTTTGAGACTGGCACAGACACAATTTAATTATTTATTTTCATTTGTTATGAACACGTTTTCGCATGTACCTCTATTGTTTAGCTTATTAAAGCCTTGTTAAAGCCTATTTGTTCGAGTTTCTGAGGTATTTTGACCGCTGCTGCTCCCTGCTCTGGTAACAGCATGCAGAGTGAGGGCAGAGCAGAGGAGGGGGAGAAAAAAAAGAAGCTGGGACCACGACTCTGCCTCTGGGTCTCTCATATGGTTGTAAAACTTATTAGCCATGCTAACGTAAATGCTGGCTTTGGAGGGCGGAGTTAATGTCAACAGATTTTTGGAGGGCGGAGTTAATGTCAACAGATTTTTGGAGGGCGGAGTTAATGTCAACAGATTTTTGGAGGGCGTTACTAACAGAACTCATTAACATAAACAGCTCTTCTGAACRGAAGTCAGAGCAGGCAGAACTAGAAAATGGGAAATTTTATTATCTGAGAAATATTTTGTGCATTATATTGAATGAACGTGGTCTGGATAGCCCACAGACATACCATAAAAATTTCTAGGACCCATAATTGGTCTCCTTTAAGCAGTTATGAGACAAAACATGGAACTGCTACTACACATTACTCAACAAGCTGTTGCTAGCCTACCAAAGAGTGAGTGATTTAGTTGATGCCACCAACCTTGCTTAGTTGGGCCTTGAGAGGTTTAGCAGCTAAAGCTTTTCCTCTGCCTACACCACCAAGCATGTGGTTCTGAACAGGAGTTCAGTGAAATTATCAACATTGGGCCTCATGCAACAACATGTTCATATTCTTATCTTAAATTTCTCTTACTTTTGTTCGTACAAAGGGTTCGTAC